GGATTTACCAGCATTCGAGAACTTGTATCGTCAGCTGTTGTGTCGCTGCTATTAGCTGTAATTGTGTGATTGGGACATACGGTTGTTGATGTGAATCATTCAGCTATCAGTCAATTCTCATTTACAGTTTCATCTACCTTTCTAAAATATTCGTCCTTCTTCTTTATTCAACTTTATTAGACCATGGCAGTTACACATGATCAGTTATCGTTATGTCAATAACCGTTCATTTATTAAAAATAATTAAAAGTTTCCAACTGTTCGAATCGCCATCATTGTCGAACACGATCATAACTACAGAGGGCGTGTTCCACATGCCTAACCCGTATTAGGCCCTGTGTGACCGTGAGTGACCCATGTGTTTGTAAAGGGACCGGAACCAGGTAGGTAGAGGCATGTACTGCATGATATCATAGACCTTAGAAATCTCATTCTAAGGTCTATGATGTAACACACAACACACAACGACATTATCGAAACAATAGTTATCTCCCAGAACTATACAGTCTGTAAACAACATGCATTCAGTAGAAATTATTTTCAAGCGTAGCCCGTTCTATCTCGAAACCGTCATCATAGAGTGTGTTGATAATGACATTCTCTCCCGTGTTCGGATTAACCGTTACATGTAATTATATCGTTGAACACAGACATAACTACGGACTCTGAGGTTGTGGTCGACCTACCTAACCCTTATTACGCCACTGTTATAGGCACAGTATGACCGTGAGCAAAATGTAATTATTAATCCCCGTTAGTAGACAGGCCTGAACCGAAAGTCAGAAGACTACATATCATACTCATGTTAATATGGGGTAAAGTTGGTTATAGTAAACGCATTAAGATGGTGTTAATTAGAAAACTCATTGTTTGTTCTTGTTTATGATTGGCGGACTGACGTTTGGCGGATCGTGAATCAGGCAGTGTTGGAGGTGGTGTATAGCAAAGTGTTAACCTGAAAACGTTTGAAAATGATTGACCCTGGTAACGTTTAGCGTATCGTGACCTAGGTCTGTCTTGTGACAACGCTGCATGACACATTATTAATACCTGTGATATCGAACACGATATGACCGAGCAATGAGCGGAAATTACTATATAAATGACGATGATACTATGCATCTAACCCTATCCCAGACATTTTGCCCACATGTCGTCCCGTGACCAGACTCGTAAATTACATCAGAACATTGTGGTTAGTCATCATGTACACCTTATCAACTAACAACAAAACAATTGTTTAAATGTTATACTTAATTACTATAGTTTACAACCGGGTTGCATTATTGACCTTGCCAGGTAAATACTCATTTAGTACCATTCTGTCCAAAGCTTTATGTAATGAAATGAAAATAAGGCAAGTTGCTATGGATACATGTGTCTATAAAACATTATGTCATTTGTAAATAAATTAGCTTACGTGCCCAGATTTCGAATCAGAACCACATAGTAGAACTTAAGAACGATAATCGAAGTTTACTGGGACCAACATTGACATTACTATTATCTAAGAGATAAGAACGGGTTAAGTAGATCTGTTTTTTACCGGAGTGCTCATTTATACTGGAATTTTATGGTTAATCGTCAATTACACTTATCAACAAACTATAACAATCGTTTATTTAAATTCTATATTTAGTTGCGGGGTTGCGTTACAGGTTCAAATCCGGGTCTACATACCTACATCAAATGGTTGCATTACTGGCGTTTTCAAGTAATACTTATATAGTACCACCTAACCCCACTACGTACGGTATCCCACGTATAGGGCTGAAAGCTGCTGGTAACAAACTTGTTGTGGTCGATTTTTCAGCTGAGTGGTGTGGACCATGTATAATGATTGGGCCAAAGTTCAAGGTACTAAATCATTTCTTAACGATCTCGGAATGTCAGCATATAAATCAGGCTCTAAGTATTATCACCTTACTTAGCTTGATCAATAAAGTTTTGTGAACAGATTGCTTATTTGTCTACTAGATCATATACGCAAATAATTGTTGTCACAAACCACATACTAGTTTTCGAGATAAATATGTTATTACTTTGAACTGATTGCAGCTAACAAGTTAGACTCCAGGGACAAAAGATAAAAAAACAATCCGTTCTTAAACACGAGACAATAAAACTATGTGTCGGGAACTAGATATAAATCTAAAATGAAAAAAAAGGCGGTAACCGATCTATTTATAAATATAAGGATGTTTTAATATTATGCCCTGCGATAGTACATAATTCTCAATGTGTGACTAACATTAGTTGAAGAACATTTCCTATTCTTTTCACATGTTTAAGCATCACAGCTGACACACGTGCCTCAAAGTGTGAACTTGTCATCAAGGCGAAAATGATCGAATTATTACATTCACTTACTCCATAATAATATTAACACAATAAAATATAATTTTATTATTTTAAAATATTATGCTTTCATCTCATCAGGAAATGTCAGAAACATTCCAGAACGTGGTCTTCCTAAACATTGACGTTGATGAGAACTCGGTAAGTTTTACAATTGTGAATTAACAAACTGGAAGTCACTTATCTATCAAAAAGTGTATCTAATCATTCACGGCAACATATTTGACATTGATGTGGGTCTCTCTCTCTCACTACAGGAAACAGCACAGTCGTGTGGTGTTAAATCTATGCCAACTTTTCAATTCTACAAGAACGGGAAAAAGGTGAGATCACGGAAACCCGATTGATGAAGAGCATAGTGCATCTATTTATCATATCAGTTTTTAAAACTATTGTTCCCAATTTATTAAGATTACGTGAATGTGAAAGATACATATGCACAATAAAACGCTGTATTTTGGTGTTGTGTTTCTTACCCATCAGCGCTAGATTCAATTTCTTCTCTTGACTACTTATCTTGTTGTAAACAATTTTAATTATGGATAATATTATTTCACAGATTGATGAATTTTCTGGAGCAAGTGAAGCGAAGTTACGCGAGACCTTGAAGAAACTGATGTGAAAGTGATAGCAATTAGCAGCGATGGATTCAGAGGGCTTTATGGTGGCTTTACAGTGCAGACAAGACATATCAATAATGTTGTACCCTACACCTAGATATACATATATCCCAAAATGAGACAGAACGTTGATTGATTATGTAATGATTATGTAACACAGTTATTGAATGCGTAATCAATAAATTACGAAATATTGAAGTTAAACTTTCACTCTCGTGTTTAGTTACAGTCGTCATCAGCGCACGAAGCAGACGACCATAGCGAGGGGGACACAATTGCGCGTGTTCTCAGGCTACGACCGCTCCGCTTTAATTTAACATCAGAATCCTTTCTGATGTAATTTTCTAGGAATCCTATTTGGAAATGATATGCCCAATTTATTTATAACACAAATAAGAACCAATATTTTTAACTGTGTGTGGGTAGAAAAGTCATTCACTATTAAATATTATAATGGTATTTGATTGAAACAGCTCTCTTTCTATTAGAAGATTGATTGTATGCAACATTTATGAAAATGACTCCTTGTCTGATCTGGGAAACTACGTGTGAGTGACCTAAAGTAACTAGCTACCGGCTTCTCTTCTTTCACCTCGAATGAATTAATATACGTATTTTCAGTTGTTGCAACAGTAAGCCAGTTCGGGTAAAAATATCTCACGTTTGTACCGTGGGGGGGGGGCGCAGACAAATTCAATAATATGCACCCAGACAATGCAATAGATCTCAAATACTGGCTGGAGGATTCCGTGAAAACTAAATTCATATTGGGTGCAGTAAACCAAAAATCAAATTCGTGATGACAGCACATATTACAATAATTGAAAAAAGTCTAATTTGTGAATAAAAAGTCTCCCTTCTTTTTTCAAATGGGAAAACCCTTTCGTCTTCAGGTAAGATATTGCCGACGGCCCTAAAGCTTGTATTGTATATAAATAATCCAGGTTGTAGGTAAATTCGGCTCACTGAATACTTTAGATTACTGGCAGTCGATCTAAGCCCTGGCTGTGGAAATTAATATGTGGCTCTGTAACATATGGACTACTTGCGTATTTTTAATAACAATATACTGTGACACTAACACGTTACATTTAACTTCAGCAGCTTTTACAGCGGGAGCTTTTCATAATTGGAATACTTGGAATTGGCCAATACTGATGAAACAAAAAAGACTTTTTTTTCAAAAAACATTATGTCTGTAATTTGGTGAATAATGTCCATTATGTTCATAGAAGCCTGGTAAGATTGAATAACGTGACTGTACCGTGGGGCACTTTCTGGTCACCTGAATTATTTGGGGAAAATCTGGGTTTATTTTGCATTTTTTTTACATTAAATAAAAAAAAAATCAATTATGTTATATAATACCCAACAGAATGGTGTATGTTGCCACCATAGATCTGCAGCCTCGTGTCTATACACAATAAATCAATGACATCGTTATGCACTCTTTAACAACTTTTTCAAAAAAAAACTACTTTGAGTTTGTATTGCCTGCAAAAAGTAAACTGAGTTTAGAGTCCCTTAAATTTTGAGTAACTTGGCCAACAATAAAACCTGAACGTTACTGCGTTTGCAAGTAATACTAAAAATTAATGATTTTTCTTCTCTGCAATAAATCCCGTCATGCACTGCTGTTTGAATGCCGTTTCGCGCTAAACACAACTAACCTAGGGGGTACGCAATGTTTGACGTTCACTCGTTCGCAGAGGTAATATGAGTGAAATATCTTTCTTATAAATTTGAATGGGAGAGGAGGCATAATGACTATATGACTAATGTGTATCTTGAAAGAACTTTAATGAAAAATGTTTTACAACAAATATTGCTTTTACAGTATAAGTCTGTCTTTGAACGCGGCTCGGTGTCTTGATGATGCTGAAAACTCAAAAACAAAATTTCCACGGAGCGGCTCGGGGATGTTTGGTCATTTGCAACTAATCCATGATTTGAATATCTTGCGAGTACAGCAAATGTTGTATTTATAATAATTTATAATTACTTGACATAATCTAACATAGTGGGATATATATTGATGTGTAATACATTGACGTAATCTTCAAAATGAAACACATTTTAAGAACTGTTGATCCGTGTGAATATGGCCAGACATGATGAAAATTAAAATAAGTTATTGAAAATATATTCAACCATTTTTTTTAATCAACTTTGTTTGTACTAATAGAATGAGCAGATATATAACCTCCACAAATCCCATACATAACACGCAGCTTACAATGCAGCAACCTTCCAATATATCGGTATAAATGCATAGCATTTACCTCCCACTGTTAACGTCTATCTCGTAACTGTGGAATATTTATCCAGGCGTATTACCCCAAACCATACGTAATTGGTCTACATATGTTTAGCCAGTGAGGGAGTTAAAGCACCTGGTCTCGGAGAGAATGCTTTACAACTGATAACACAACAGACTCAAACCAATAGGAGCGCTCGCATTTGATGAGTGGGCATATCACAAGTTTTATTTATTTCCCTTATGCATTAGTTGAACTTTCTTCAAATTCGATGGACATGTTATTCATTAATCGAATATATTGCATACATCTTTCTTCCATTCATCCGCCCATCCATCCATCCATCCCAATATTGTATTGTATTTTATTTTTTGTACGAGTTGGTATTTGTATTAAAGGAAATATTTTGTCCACCGAACGTGAACGAGAACAGAGTACATGTATACCACATTCTTGCACACGATACAATTCACGGTCTCGTGCGAAAACATTGGACCCCCCATCTAAAAAAATGCCGGAACTACTGTTTCTGTCACTGTCTCGTTTATGAAATAGTTACGAAAAAAACGTTTTCCAAATTTCCCACTATCCATTCCACTGCATTGGCAAGTATGGCAAGTATTGTGTTTTGTTCTGGAACACTGTGACCAGGGGATATATATCGGATTTTACATGTATCTGTTTAATTTTTTTAAAAGATTCCGTTTATTAGTAAATAGCGCCCTCACTCAACAATAATTAGAATGAGTGGTTGGTTAAAAGTTTGATGAGTCAGGTGCATCTATTGGCTAAGCTTGTTGTACATAGATGCAAATGAGTATAGGAACTATTAATGCTGTAGGTTGTGTTGGGAGGGGTGGAGGATTTCATGTTTGCACTGACTGGTTGTAATGTGCTATCTCGTTGTTTTCAGAATGCAGCCTGATATTTGTTGCTTTCTTGGATGTTCAATTGTGACTACAATTTTTGTGGTGGGTGGAATATTTGTTTATTTGTTTGTTGAGTCATTGTTTAGACACATTTCGTGACAGTATCTTCTATTCTATATTCTGAGAGAATATTTTGTAATTTTTGATAAAAAATACCATTTCCAACTTCATTTTCTTTGATACATGGGTGGACGTCTGGTCAGATGCGTTCATTTCATGGCGATATTTTACATTCTCTAGTTTTATCGAATATTGTTGTCACTTTTTAGTAAGAAATGCTATTTTCAACCTTTTTAAAAAAATACTAGCTCAATTCGTATCAAGTTGAAAACAATTGCATTTGCCATAGCAACAGCCATATTATTACTATGATTGTGATTCAGAACTTTGTGGTAACAATGACCATCGCATATCACTAATATATCCCCATATAGAACATTTTTTACTTTGTTTTGAATAAGTCACTCTACAAAGACAATTGAGCTATTTAAACTATTAGACTGTTTTAGTAATGGATAAATCTATAATAACTCTGAGAAAATTAATTTTTCCCTTCACCTAGTTTTGAGAAGCATGAATTTATGGCTGTTAACTACCGATATCTCAAGAAACGCTAATCAAATTATATATAACTGTGTAAAAATAATGCCAGCCCTGAAAAGGTTTTGGTTGAAATTTACTAAATCGAAATCTATTAGTTGAATTAATGTGGATGGTTTGATCATCAAGTCTTTTATATATTTGCAAATCACAAATTAATGTTCGTTGAATTTAACAATTACACACCTACCGAAAAACCGTGCTTTTCTTTATCGTTTTCATCGCTAACACCCGTAGAACTATTATTTTATTTGAGTGTGTTGTCACCTGTTTCTGATGGGTGACGTCACCATCACAGATTTCATTCAGATTGATGGGATATATATCGAGTTTCGAATGTTGAATATGCCAGGCAAGGCTGTAAGAATGCACTTTGCTCTTATCGAAATGTCTGACCCAGTTTGCTAGTTGGCGATTTACAATTAGATTTAGAATTATCTATCATTACGGTATTTAATCAAATAAATGAGTTTGGTGATTTTAAAAATTTCAACTTTACATCAACGAGTCCTCCGAAAAACAATGTGGTATGTTGCTTCGCACAGCTGTGCTTTATGACAACTATCACACGGGACTATATTCTTAGTGATGAGATTGATGAGCACACGTGAGCTGGAGTCTGTGGACAAATACATTCGCCGTATTGTGACTGCTGTTCAGACGTACGTATACGTGTATTCGCATTAATCACAGTACAAATGAAGTGGTTCGTAGTTGTACTTTTTCTCGCTACAGTCGTCAGTGGCACAAAGGTAAGTTAATCAAAGTAATCCTTGGATAATCCTTTTTTGTATGAATATGTTTCCGTTACAATTACGGTGTCGTTAACTAAAACATTAAAAACATTTCAGAGAACTGGAGTCACATGTAAGTGTGTGCACGACTGTTCAATACATTCTATTTCAAATATTCGACAGACCTGAACATTATTTATGTATTTTGTTTTGTATTCATTTATTGTGCAACTTTGTCCTAGTTATTGCAGTCGTATGTGAGCAAAGAGCAAAATACACACAGACAAACTGGGGTTCCACGGTCAATGCCAAACTACTCACAAAATTGATTGGCTACCAAACGTCAATTTTATTATTTTGACTGATTGGTTGTCTTTGTCGGTGGGCAACATTTTCCCAGAAGTTCGTTCGAGTCTTGACCACATACATTTTTTTATGTCCGCGATTTGACTTATACAATACCATCTAGTCGGACGGGACGGTGATCACTACAAGTCATTTTAACCGCATGGCTCGGCAGAGGCGAATCCTGCATTTTTTGTTGTAATATATATCTGTTTGCATGTACAATTTATATACTAGTTACACTTTTTTTCTCTTTGTCTCGTCTTTTTTGGCTCCTAATGATATCAAATCATCTTCATCTTTCCCATGCTGCTATCAGGTACCCTGGTCTCGTGAATGTGATGATCGGGAAAACCATTCCTGGGTGTACCTTGTACACTTGGGTAATAGTGTGATTTACCCAATTAATAATGGATGTATTTGTATGTTGTGTCTCCATCACCTCTGATATAGAGTGCTCTAAAATAATACTGATAATTCTGACTGGAAAAAGCTGCAATTTCCCCTGATTCTTGCTACCTACAACTACGACAGCAAGGATGGCGACAAAACCTGCTTTTTTATCCCAGAGGCCAAGATGAACATGACAACTGTCTTGCACGTCAAATGTTCGAGTGTTGAGTCGAGTACGAGAATGATGCTCTCATCTATTGGCCCTCCATGGGGATGCTTGTTTGGTTGTTGTTTTTAGTAGAATTTGAACAATGTGGATGAATTCATACTTCTATGCACTATCGGTCTTTAGACTAGCCCTGTATCATTTGGCTACCATTGCTGGTCTACTCGCCAATGCTAATTGAGTATGCATGTCTTTTCTATTTAGACTACCACAACGGTTGTCGTATCGGACTAGAACTTCTTCTTGTGAACTTCGGTCAGAAAGTGAACTAATGTCCTCCTAAGGTTTAACATTTCGCTTACTTTTAGGTCCACTTCCCCGTCTTTCAAGTTTAATGCACTGTCCTAGCGATGGACCGACTTGGCCTCGTCACATTTTGAAGTCCGTCGTCCATCTGGGTTGGGATTGGTAATGATTTTTGTGTGTTTACAGTTACACTATAAAACCCCAAAAGTGTAGGTCTAGATTGTCTGGTAGACACATATATAGCACATGTCACCGATGTTCTCTTAAAAAGACAGTCGTTGGGGTATGGATTTATGACGAGTTGTGCAGCCACGCGAATGACATTTTGACAATGCGTGACACTACGTACAACCCAAATGGTCCTCTTTTTATGACTACCCTTTTACTTTTTTTATGATACCCCTTTTGCCACCACCCCCGCCATAGAACCGATCATTTCCTAACATTCGCGTAATTCGCGTTGTTCAATTATCTACCTCCGCAAACTGGTGTATTTTCTGTTTGAGTTTACATGCTCAGTTGGTCGCGTGAAACGAAATACCAAGCAGTAAATGAAGTACACGCATTCTTTTCAGTTGTCGATCTGTCGTCATAAACAGTTGCATAAACAGCATGTTAAACCCTCAGTGTGCGTAATGATGCGCATGCCAAACAAATTTGCATATGATCATATATTTTTGGGACATGTCTTATTTGTTTTATTATGTTTCTCCAGGAAGAATTTGTCACTGCATTGAGCGGTGCTGGTGATAAACTGGTGATAGCTGAGTTTGCTGCTGATTGGTGCGGGCCTTGCCAAGGCATCGAGCCTAAGATCAAGGTAAACTCAGAAGCGTTCGATTTCCCAGTCTCTTTGACCATCAGGCGTTTTTACAGTAAACGGTATTTGGTAATAGTATGTCCTATTCATTAATGTTCAACAGGTCATGGAAGAAGAATTTCAACAGGTGGTCTTTTTGGAAATCGACGTTGATAAAGATTCCGTAAGTTTATATATGTACATGTATTAATCTCACATTGTTCCAGACAGTGGTCGAAAATGTTTGCTGAGCATACATGTGAATGTTATTAAAGGAATTTCTGATCGTTTCACAGGAAACCACTGAAGCTGCTCATATTAACAGAGTGCCGACTTTTAAATTCTACAAGCACATGGAAGAGGTAAGCGTTATAAATATTATGAAATTATTCTTAGACGCAAAAAAAAAACAATTATAAAAATCATACCCGACTATTTCACAATAACATCGCACGCCTTTAGTGCACCCTTGCACGTGACACATGTCGTCGATCCGTAAATCGTCTCTTCGAAACTAGGGTGTTCTAGTTCTGAAAAACAGTTTCCCACTAAACGTGTATTCTTGTGAACAAAAAAACAAAAACAACAGTTAGTAACTGGGTAGTGTTTGCTGAATTAAAACCTCCACATTTGAAGGTTAGCCGACAGACATAACTGAGTCCCAGTATACAAAGCAGAATTAGACACGTCGAAAACAAAAAAAAAGCTGCTCCTATCTGACCGGTCTGACATAACACACACATACACCATTGTTCTTCCAGACAATATGTAAATTTAAATAGCAGCTGGTAATGCAATGGATCAGGGATTTCTAGAACTATAGTCTATTTCATTTAAAATCAATAAGCAAGAATAAATATATTATCTGAAATATATTTCAACCTGTAACTGAAATTGTATTACAACGTTATATTACATTAATTCTGTTAAACATACGGCAATAGAATATTTCAAGTAATATTGTGAATATAGTAAGATATTGTAAGATATAGAGCTACAACTCGAAGCTTCTGGCTTTAGAATTACCGAGGCACTCCTCGGTGTTGAGCTGAGTATAACGAAACATTCAGGTTATGCACAGCTGGTAAACGAAAACAAACATTCGTGAATTGGAGAATTGTTCTCATGTCTATAATAAACCAATTATGTTTCAGGTGTTGACCATAGTTGGTACGGACGAAAGCAGCATACGCAATGCCGTGATGAAATGGATGTAACACTATGGCTGCCCACGTGACCAGAGGGCGATATATACGGTTTCAGCTTTACGCTGATATGATTGATACAGATTCAATATTAATAAACGCAGAAGAATGTACAGATTGTAATTTTGCCTTATAATTATTTTGAATGTAGTATGTTCTGTATTATGTTGAATGTTGTATTTCCTGTATTATGTTGAATGTTGTATTTCCTGTATTATGTTGAATGTTGTATTTCCTGTATTATGTTGAATGTAGTATTTCCTGTATCTGCTATAGTCACTGACGTTTTACGGCTTGTTTCAAAGACTTTATCAATGTTTGTCAGCCTGGTCTTTAACAACATTTACCAGGATATGCAATTAACATAACAAATGTACATTATCACATTGCATATTTTATTATGGAAATTAATGGCCAGCAAAGGCGACGGGTCAATGCACTGTCAGCAATTAAAATCTTGCCTGAAAACGCAAACGGAATTTGTAAACTATAAATTGCAAATAACTCATGTTTTGAATTTGTTTTTAATGTATGATCATTAAATTAAACAATAGAAAACGAGTTTTAAATTGCATTAAAGTTAAGCAACAAACTTCAAGAAATCGCAAGTATAGTGTAGACTATTTTACTGATTATAAGGGTGATTATATTCACGGTAGCGTACTGATGACTTTGGTTATTAAACTGGACGTTCGCGAACACAATAACGGAGCGCAGCACTTCGTGTATACAACAGGCACACATACTGGTAACTTACCTTAGAGTGATACGAGACAAACAGAATATAATAGTATATTAGTGAATTATTGCTGAAAATCGAATGCAATTTTATTCAGTAAATTGGTCAAAATTTGTGCGAAAAAATAAAAAAAAAACTCACTAGAAATACAGTTAAGAAAAATATGCAGCATAACCCTCCGATTACCAAGTCTTTCTTTTCCAACACTCCCTGTCGCTTTATACAGAAGATCAACTCAAAATGTAATTCGAACTACGCCACCTATGCTCGGCCGTATATATCTACGGGTATTGCTTTAAACCTAGCTAACGTAACGTATAAAGGTGAAAAACTGTACAGCCGGCTGTGTCGCAGAATATATATATATATGTATAATTGTAAAATTATTCAAATTACGCAACGGCATTAGGCATTAAACATATTAGGCTACACATATCTATTATGCATGGGAGAATTCATATAAACTGGACTCTGTTAAAAATGTAAATGACCCGAGATATTCATCAAGATTGTTACTCTTGTGCTTAATCGAAAAAAAAATATTGAGACAAGATTAGTTCTATTGTATCATATGCTAGGCTGAACTCTACATACTACCCTTGAGAAGTGGTCAATTGCCACGTGAAAGCTAGGAAACCTTTTAATGAATCGGTATTTCTATAAATTATACTACATGATTCGAACACTATTTATGACTAAGAGATGAAAGACATGAGATGAACCGAAGTCTTCATACAATGATAGGTAAAAGAGGAGCAAGCATTATTATTATTTAAAAAAAACCAAAACAATTAATATTGCGTGGACGAAGATATCACCAGATTGTACATATATACTGCCTTTGCTTGACACGTGTTAATGTAAAATACTATATTAAAGTGAAGTTAAATTGAAAATAGGTGTTAAAACAACCAACTGGGGAAAGTGGTTAGTGAGAATAGAAAATATACAATTAGTTATGTATTTACTTTATGGAAGGCGCTCTGAACGACTGACCAAGGCACGCGTCCATGCAGTACACACATACGCACAAGCAGATTATCACCCAGTATCCTGGCTCCAACATGGAGCGATTACACCAACGTCGCCTACTTGCCAACTGACTAAATCTAAGAACGGGATCAACTTATTTCGTACAATATTAAAATGTATATTGGACGGGATTTTTATATGATATGTGCAAAGTTATATCTAGAAATGAAATCGCACGCAATCAAATTGAGTTGAAATAGCACCCCTCCCAATCACACAAAAAAGCCGTATGAAATATGTATCAACAATGTATCACAACGCACACTCAGTTGCATCCACTCATTTCTGTTATTGTGGCGGATGAAAAGGTGCTCATCTACGTTGCTCTATACATTTCAAGTGTATCGATAGTTACTACGGAATGCATAAACACAAAACATGTTAAGTATATTTGATATACATGTACTTATGTTGGCGCTGTCCCGGAAAGAACGATTAGGCGGGGACAGCGCCACCACAAGATAACGTTACAAACGTATAATTATATCCAGACAAATACAACAAATTTAATTTAATTGGATTTTAACCTATATATCTCTATCCGTTAATTGCATACTATTCGATCCTATGCTAAATAATATATAACATTTATATAAAATGTAAGTTTTGTGAGTTTTGTGATAGATTAGCCACCATGAAGGTGAGACCCGAAGAAGGGAAACACTTTTACGATTTTACCCCCCCCCCTCCTCTTAAAAATTAGGTAGATTACAATGGACATACGCCACTATTGGTCCAGTCATTGAACATTATTAATACATAATAACGAACTTCATTGGCAACATGTTTTGAAAAAACACAGATATATCGTTTGTATGATATATGTTTTTGCATCAGTGAGTTCGACCTATGGCAAGTCGATGAACACTTCCTCAGTGACAGAAGTTATGTTATTTTCGCGTGTCGGATATTGCTCCAAATATGTAGATATATGCTGTAATAACATATCCCTTATTTATATTCGAAGTAACTTCTGTGCCATTATGGTATGATATACAACCACTAAAGTAGATGTGAAGGCACTTCGATATTAGTCATCGACTGTCATAGTCATAAATTGAGTAATGATACAAATGAAATACTAGTTTGTTTATGTTCTGCCCCAATATTCGATTCATTGTACTTTCGTGGCGTGCAGTCTGTGTCCCATTGTCTGTCTCTATTTGATAGTCTGAAGATCTGCCTTGTGCATCGCGCACACTCTCGTTACCACTATTTCTGCGTATAGATATCATATCATGTTTAATAATATGCACACACTGACTGGGACCACTTCTTGTTCGATGACACAGCCCCTAAAATATACTGTATCTGTCATCTAGATATGTTCTGATGTTTATAGTTATTTTGTGCAAGACAGTATTCCAGTTTGATGACGTCATCAAACATACCACATGTTACTGTTACTTATATTAGACAAAATGGCAAAGAGAGTTTATAAAAGTACACGATTTATAACAAACATAAAATATTTGCCATTATTTGGAATCTGTACTGCAACAAGGTCCCTTCTCAAAGTAGGTTTGGTGGCAGTTGTCTCATGTTGCTCACACTTTTTCCTCATCTTCAGTATTGCGAGTTCCATATCTTTCTAAGCGGGCATGTCTTTTAGGTGCCGGGGATGTTGTATGGTATGTGTCTTTATATGGTGATTTAGCAGCGAATTCGTCCAATCCACTCTGGGATGGCTCGGTGTTCAAATGATGCCCACTATGATGAATATTTTCTCTTGATGGTGACACATGCCGCGAGTGATCTTCACTTCTCGTCCTATCAGGTATTCGGAATGCTGATCTCGGAGATTTTGGAAGTGATTTTAATGATGGCACATCCAACACGCTGAAGGTTTCTGGGGACGTCATTTGGCGCTGCAATCTATGGAGTGATGAAGCACTGTGAGGGCGTTCTAACATAGGTGGTACGTCCAGTCGAGACTTTACTGAACCAGGTACATCTTCTTCACTAATGGACTCCTGTCTGGACTGGTCCCGTAGAGGACGCCTTCTAAACTCCAGGCTTGATTTTGCAGATGGTACATCCTCTTCACTAATGGACTCTTGTTTCATATATTCTTTGGCCCATGCACGCTCAAAATCAAACCTTGATCTAGATGATGGTGGTGGTGTTTCTTCTTCACTAATCGAATCCTGCCTGTATGGTCTTTGCTCTCTTATCTCTGGCACAGAAAGCTGCTTTCGTGGATGAGAACGAACTCCTGATCTCCTTGCAGCTTCAGGAAGTGACATTCCCTTAGATGAGTATTTAAAGTATCGTGGCCTGGGAGGAGGTTGCCCTTTACTGTAATCTTCATCACTTGTGCTCTCTTGTGGCAACAATCGTTTTGGCCTAACAACAATCTCTTTACGTTTTTCAGAATAATACGTTTTGGCATCCCTTAATTCAGCTTGACCTCGCAAATGTGCTTTTCCTTCCCAGATGCGACTACTTTCTTGGCGTAAATATTCCTCTTCAATGCTGTCTTGTGGCACAAGTTTCCTTGGTCTCTCTGAATATCTGGGAGGTCGAGGAGGGTAATCGTCTTCTCTTGATGAATCTCTATCTAGAGAGGGTCTTCTGTGCTCAAAACTAGCACTTCGCTCAGTTGTAGGTATATTCAACATTTTCTTTTCTATCAGTGGGTCACTGTATTGCTTACGCTGGAGGTGCAATCTTCCTTTTGAAATAGAGGCCCTTCCATGCACACGAATCTGTGGGGGATCATCAAACATTGTGTCTTGTCGAAGGAACTCTTTAAAAAGAGCATCTGTCTTCTCATCTATACTGTAATCTCGCTTTGATAAGTTGTACTGTGTTTCATATCTATCTTCACGTTCTTTCTTGAAGAACCTCCCAATCCTACCAGCCACTCGATCCCCAAATGAATCTGACCTTTTCAATTTTGGCCTTTGGTCGTTTGGTGACTCGTATGCTGAGGTCTGTGAGTCTATTTCACTCTCATCCTCGGGAAAACTGAAACTATCATAGAGTGCTCCTGATTTACCCTCAGCTGTAAATTCCCTACGCTTTTTTGATGCTGTGCGAGGATCATCTCTTGCCCGAAAAACAACTTCTGAGCGCCCATCTTTGTTAAAATATCGCCGTTTCGGGCATGCTGCTTTCTCTTTAAGTGTCATTGGTGGGGTTTCTTTTACAGGACTTATATCTGTAGATGTGTAACTTGGACATGTTGTACTCTCTATACTTGTACTATCTCTATCACTAGAAGCATATATGGATCTTT